CTTGAAGACTTCGATACAATTCAAGTACTTAACCAATTTTCAAGTATAAGTTGAAATGATAGATGAAGGAATAAGTTCCAAAGTAGGACAATGATAAGATCCACTATCTTTTAAACCTACCCTGTAAAATGGTGCCATCTGGCTTTGTTGCAACTTTTTACATTGAAAAATAATAATAGGGTGTTGTAGTTTTAATTCTTTGAAGTTCTAAACATTTTTATTGTCTTGCATCACTGTAAAACTGGATACACTTATTAAATGATCATGGATGCGTTAATTATGAAAATTATTTTGGAGGTGCATAGTCTGGCGTCACTGATGAGACCGGCACCTAATCTTTATCTAGTTTATCATAAATCTCCGTTCATTAAATTGCAAAGTTCAACGCTACCGGATATTTTGTCGAGCCGAGTTCCGCTCAATCCCGAACTTTTGATTATGATGCGGGTGCAATCACTTTTTGAGAGAACAACAGAGTATCTCATACGAGCGTTGTGACTCACGAACGCTATAATAAATTAGGTACTTCAGTTTTCATGTTGATGTAGAGAAATTTATTTTATTAGTTGAAGAGATAATAGATTTCATAAGAGATGGAATTAGAAATTGTTGAAATTTGGAAACGTAGGAAGGTACAACCTGTAAATGGAGTATATATAAAAATAATTGTTCAAACAATTAATAAAATAAAATATAATTAAAGCACCAAAAAAATACATTTACTACTTATATACATTATTAACTAGTCCAGCACTAAAAAGTTCCATTCAAATCATTAAAAAACTATTTTTTTCTTAATGCGTTTCAATTATCGCTTTACTTCAGAATGTGGTTACATTATGTCTCAATTAACCTAGTGCAGATTACCTTTTAACTTTTCTTTCAGAAGTCTCTATTAATACAGAGTGAGTCGGTTAAAAAGATAATGAGTAAAAACTTCAAACAATATTTTTTTTACAAGAGCGAGTTCGTTTTGCTTGTTGCATGCTGCAAAATGTTACGGGATCGGTGGCCTACTTATTAAGATGAGATAATTATACTTTGAGTTGTTGATGTGATAATGAATTTATGCCATGATTTGCTATTTTTTGCTAAATATTTGTAAATAAGCAGTTTAATCAATATTCATTTATTTATTTATTTATTTATTAAAATAGCAATTTAATCTTATAAGCTATTGTAACACAAACGAGAGAAAACGAAAAGAAATAAATAAATTGAAAATAATAGAATAAAATAAATAATAACAACAATAACAAGAAAAGAAAAATATATATGTATTAAAAAAAATAATTAAAATAGAAGAAAGAAAAAAAATATTCACAGTTCAATCAAATATGAGCAGCCTAGTGTTTCATTTAAGGATTTAATCAATAAATGCACGTTTCGCCGTCAATACAAATCGAATATCTTTCAAATCAATATGTTCCGATGCTCGTTTTTTGTACAAACGAAATTTGCATTTTTTGCATATTATGCCCCGTATCTCTTAAACGGCTAGGCTTGTCTTTGCCAAAAGCACGACTTCCTCTCAATAGGAATCGAATGTTTTTTGAATCATTCAAATCGGTTCTCCCGAAAATATTGATATAGAGATGAATATTCATTCTCGGCAGCGAATTTTGATATCAATGATTTAAAAGTTAGTAGTATCATTTCAAATATACAAGTAAGGGTGATGAATGCACATGATTTAACATGTAACATGAGTTGTATATTTCTTCGAAACTTAATAGATACATATTCCAACTAGTTAAATTCAATAAGAATTGAGATTCAGCTATTTAGGTAAAATGTCCAACTGTTCCAATTTCCCGAAAACGTCGATGGAAATTCATTCTCTCATGAAACACTTATATACATCTACACACATAGATCGACAGATCGATATATTAAAGAATTAATCGATCGATAAAGAATCGTTAGATCAATTTTTTAAGGTAGGCCACAATGTTCAGAAACCACTGAAACGTAAAGGTATGCAAAAATCTTCATTTTCGATGTTTTGCGATTACTATAACTCACCCTATGAGACGTTAATAAGCAACTAAGCTATCATGACAATCTCACATTACTCTTAAAAAAAGTTTTTATCCAATAATAAATATAAGTGAACAATTATTCTAATATGTAGGGTAGGGCGGGGCTAGTTGAGCAAGTTTTTACTTAAACGGATGTAGCTCCTCAATGAAAAGTCTCAATAAATAGCTATACGGCTTAATGGATTTGTTGTTTATCAGAAAGAAGTGTTGATACTATTTTTTGGTAATAAGTAAAATTTAAAAGCTACAGCTGTTTAAATGCAAAAAGTCAAGTATGCTCAATGTACCCCAATGGTGGGGCAAGTTGAGCACTAAGAAACTATAATGAAATCATAGGTTCAATGTCAATTAGTGATGAAATAAAATAAGTTTTTAATAACCAGTTCTATATTTATAGTCTTTATTGACATAGAAAACAAAACTTATAGTAATTTTCTTCTAATAATTAACCAAAAGTAGAATCAACAAAACAATATCGTATCTTAGGAATTATTTTACCATTATATTCAGTATTTTTGTTTAAAAACATTATTTCTTTATATTATTACTCATAGACTTAGCTTAAAACTTAAATCTTAAAAATAATAATTAATTTCTGGAAGTTAATGGTAATTGTCTTAGTGACAGAATAAGTTTAGCAACTACGCTCAACTAACCCCAACACGGAATTTCAAAATAAAAGTGAGTTTATAAAAAAAACGTGAGAATTATACCCAGAATCTCTGTGCATATTAAAAGTACAATAATTATATGGTAGAATAACATTTACCTGATTAAAAATGAATAACTTTTGACTAAACCAGACGAAAACTCGTGATGAATTACTTTTTTACTTTTTGGTCTCAAAATAAAACGGCCGTGAGCCTCACTCATTTGTCCAGCGGCCACTAGCGATCGCGGGATGTTTATTTCTCCCAAACCTCTATCTTTCCGCCATATAATGCCTAAACGGACGGTGAATAATTTTCGAGATAATTCGATTTCTCAACTTGCCCCTATGCTCAACTAGCCCCACTCTACCCCATGTCTGTACTATATATAACCATACTATAAATGTACTATAATTAAGATGCCATTGAAAATCCTCTAATCAATTTTAATGATACACGAGATCAAATTATTACGAAGTCGAGATTAAATCGTTTCCAGAATACGGAAATGGTCTCGAGATAACCACAGAGACACCAGCAGTCGATTGTAATCGCATGCGGCTAATGATAATTGAATGTCGCCCGACCTCCCCGTGTCGTCGGGCTCTCGTCTTGCTCTTGCCCCGATACGAGAGGTGCAGGAACAGTGTTTTCTGTGTTACCTATAGGTCAGCGGAGCGTGAAATTGGAAATATTATTCAACTCGGCAAAGTGCTAACGGTTTCTAGTATTGTTATGAAAATAGTACTTGGAAAATGTTTCATTATATATTAGAGTAAAACAAATTAAGTATTGTTAGATAAATTTGAAAAAAAATCGAAGGGTTAATATCAAACGCTTAGACTGACGTCAATATCTGTCACAGTATGGAGCTGTATCTGTCTAATATACCTAGTTATATATTTTTTTCTTCAATAACAATCAGACTACATGACAATTCTATGAGCTATTTGGCTTATGTCATTCATTCATACACATACACACATTCACACATACACACATTCACACACACACTTTCAAACACACATATATTTTTTTTTTATTTATTTATGATTAGCAATCAGAATACAGATTCTATAAGCTAATGTGTGATGTATACACAAAATAAAAATTGAATAAAGTAATTAAAATAAACAAATAATAAATATACAAAAATAAAGATTATAAATGAATGCAAAAATATGATTATAAGCAAATTAGGAAAAATGAGAGATTACATGGTCAGATCGGCAGGCGATTTTCTTTTAAGTCTTCGGTTTGTATTTTCTTCCACAAGTGGTTTAGTAATTTATTGGTATGTGTTGCGATTTTGTTAAGATGCGTGCAGACTTTATCTTTGGTGACGTCTTTTATATATGGTATTTTTAGGTCCTGATGTATCATATGATTACTTACAAACCATGGAGCGTCGACTAGAGTTCTGAGAATTTTATTTTGCATTCTCTGTATTTTGGCTATATATGATTTGCTAGCGCATCCCCACAGTTCTATGCCGTAGGCCCATACCGGTTTCAGCACTGCATTGTAGATTAGAACTTTTGAAACACACATATAAATTAATGTGATAAATATTATATTGATAGAGAATCACTTCAATAAGTGATCCTACAATTCTGTTGATATAAAGTAGTAGTAGTTTTAAGAGTCATCAATATTATCCTTGAATAAAATTGAAATGAATCATGTTTTCAAGGAAAGGGTGTGTTTTAAGATAGGATTACAAGTTTATTTTTTAAGACTACACAATTTAGAAGTGGACGTAGCACGATTCTTAGTATTATTAAAATAATTTTCGGAAAATATTTCATTTTAGTTTAAAAGTGAAGACAATTATGTTGAAAATACCCCAAGATAAAAACGCAACTATACAAAGAAAGGTGTCATTGTATTACATTGTGGTAATTTATGGTGGTGATCAAGTAAACCCTGGCAAAAAATGATTACAAAACAATTGTCATGACATTTTTATATCTTTATAAGCGATGAGATTTTGTAATCGATATTTATATCTGTTGAAAAGATTTTTTTACAAATTAATGTTTTCCACAACATTATAAATTACTACTTACTTACTACTCGTTAATTAAAAGATTGAACTTCAATCTTCTTCAGAATGAATTTATTAACCTCTTCAGAATGTCAAGAAAAAGCAGCACATAGAAATATTTTTTGTTTAAATTTGTTAGAATGAAAAAAGCTGATTATAAAAAACATTAGGCTTTAGTATTATTTAGTTTTAAATTTATCCAACAAAATAACTTATTAATATTACATTTGTGTGGAGTAAAGCTAATATCTTAAGTTAGAAATGCGAAAGGCCATGAACGTCATGTACGAAGAACAATATGCCAATGCTCTCAAGTTAAATAATTTATTACTGGAAAGGTACGATCGATTTACGCGCGCGGTGTGACATTCAGGTTGCGCCGAATTAAATTGAAGTGGATTTCAATATCTGGGTCAGTTTCAACTAATTTATTAGCTAGAAATAGATTAATTTCTCGATTTGGTATACCCTGAGTGTATATTCTCTGAATATACATACATATTTTGATATAGAAATTAATGTTCATTCAATTAGTCGGCAGCGAATTTTGAACAATGATTTAAAAATTAGTAATATTATCACAAATATATAAGTAACATAAGTTGTATATTTTATTTAAAATTTAATAGTAACGTTCTAACTAGTTGTAACCAACAAGAATTGAGATTCAGGTATTTAGGTAAAATCTTTAACTGTTATTTTGAGAAATTTTTGCTTTCACTAAAAAATAATCTACGCGATTTCTAATTTATGTTTTTCAAACACACTTATATTATCTGTAATATTAAAATTTGATATAATATGTTTAACAGATTTTATATAATCTATTTCGGATTCTAAAAAATAATTTTATTTATTTAAGTGTGGACGCCAACTGTAATTTGTAGCCTATGAAAAACAGAACGTATATTGTTCAGCGTCATAGATTCTGAATTAAATCTTTTAAGCGCGCGGCGAGGGTCTTAGACCTTGACGAATTTTTATAATTCAACCGCTTATCGTAGCCCTATAATATTTTAGCACGTTTTTCAGTCTATGAAATTTATCGTCATACAAAGTTTAATCAAAATCATCGAATAAAAAAAATCATCAATTATTTTCAAGAAACAGCGCGGCTTTGCTTTACCAAAAACCAACCAGCACGATTCCCAACCAAGGACTGTTGAACATTTTTTTAATTTTTAAAATCGAATTAAAACTGTCGCATCTAAGTAATCAACGCTAGTCTTCTAGTCCATCGAGACCATCGAATAACTTTTAAATTTTTAAATTAGTTCAGTTGTTTTTTGTGAAAACGTCGATGAAAGATAAAAAATCAGCTCACATACACACGTACTTTTTTCAAATTTGGTCCATTTTATTTCAGAATGACTTGAAACGTCGAAAACACAAAATAAGCAAATCGGATTTTCTGGCGAAAACCAAACTGAATTTTCTGAAAGTTAAAAATTTAATATTTTGCCAGCAAAACTTATTCATGTATCAGTTTTTCAAGCGGCAGCTCAATCAATACAGTTCGCAGCAAATCAAAGAGCGTCGTAAACAGGCTATAAATATATTAGATGATTTTCTCAAAGGCTAAAAAAAGACTACCTATCGCATCACGAATGGGTAAATCAAAAGAGAAGGAAAAGATCAATTCACTTTTTCAAAAATCACGAGTGTGCGCTCTCATGATGATACGTCGATTTCTAAATGTCAGCGACACGCGATGTGTATGATGCAGACTTGAGGAATTACTCGAGGAGGATTGTATTCTCCTTTTATATTCCGAACACGATGATAAGTACACCTTTGATTTATTATATTCGAACGAGTTGAGTCGAATATTGAGTCTTTTAAATTTCATTTTTCATTTTAGATTTATTTATTATATCATTCGGAGGTTGATAATTGAGCTTATTTATTATATTGAGATTATTTTAGGAAATTACTTAAAACGATTGGTATATTAAAAGAATTTAGTCAAATATTCTTAATTCCGGTCATTTTTAACAATTATTACTATTTTGCTTTACTTTTCAAAATAATCCAACCTCCATGAAAATTTGACAAATTATTAGGTGTATCCCCGAGAATTAGGTATAAGCAAATTTTTAAAACCAAGTAGTAAGGGTTAGCAGCCACTAAGATTTTTTTTTAAATTTAAACCAACTTTTGACCCTGAATTTTCATCACCTTACCGCAAATTCCTATTTCGTAAAAATCATTTTATTTTCATCTTGCTTTTGAATGAATTTTGATTAAAAATTTTTGATCTTATGAAGAACACATTATTACATTCATTTCACATTAAAAACAACTCTTTGCATCAACGATTATAACTCTAACTTTTTTTTAAATATATATTAAATCAATTTACTTTTGAGAAATTTGGGAAATTATTAGAAATGCCCGGCTATCATATCATATCAAGTATGTAACAAAACTGCACTTTTGTTCAGATTTTTAATTATATGGATATAACAAAGCAAAGCGTCATGATCAGGTATAGCTAGTTCTGTACATAAATAAAAAAAAATAAAACATGGAAAAAAATTGATGGTTTCTTGAGTGTACAACTAGAATATTTTATTACATCAAAAGTGTACCTACTAAGAAAATTGATCATTGAATATTTACCATCCTTTATGAATTTTCTATTTTGCCGTCGATAGAGAAACAATAAAGTTGATAGAAGATATCTTATCATTAAAGTAAATATAGAAAATTACAGGCGGAAGCCAGTCGCTACTAATTTATTCAGGTATCGGTCGATATCATAAGAGCACAAAGAAACACGAATGACTGACAGGAATATAAAGTTTCTAAATAATTTATTAGATCATAATGGATGAATTCTGAATTCCCACAGAAAATATTTATTATTCATAGTCCTATACTCAAGTTATGGACGTAAATATTTTTGACATTATGAAGTTAATTTGTAAATTCTCATCCATGCCGAATTCCCTCGTATTTCTTGTTAATATGTAATTTTGATTAACACATCATCAATATTATGCGGGTGACCAGTTGCTAAATACGATATAGGTCAAATATGATATGAGTTAATTAACAGTTAAATGTTTAATACAGAAATCACGGTTGGTCCAGAGTAGTGGCCGCAATCAGTTTATGCCATGTATATGTACGTTGATTTCATTGTTGGGATGATTTATGTAGTGAAGTATCTAAAATTGGTTTTAAGAGGATGGAATTGTTATAGATATATACAAGGGGGTCGAATGCACATTTATTTTACTGTTAAACAATTTATGCATTTATTATCAATTAAATATACACAATACCGATAAATTACTAATATAGTTATTAACTGTAATTATATTATATTATTGATATCTATGCTTCGTCATATATAATATGAACATTAAGAGGCCACGTTTACTTTGCGAGTATAATTTAAAGAAGTGTATATATATATATATATATATATATATATATATATATATTATATATATATATATGGAGGTGTAGTAGTCCTCCATATTAATACCAATATTATCCAAATTGTAGTAATAATAAATTCCATAAAATATTATTTATATTTGGTTTATTTTATGTATGATTAATATCCACGACACTATGTGTTGTCATACTGATCATTAATAAAACGTTATTGGTATTTTCTTATTTATAATAGAAAAGAAAGGTTTCAAGAATTATACATTTTTTTGGCAAAAACTACTCAGGGAGAAACAAAAACCGTGTCCGATCTGACACTTGAATTTCCTTTTGTTTTTCTCAGTGCTGTCACTATATGGGCCAATCTGTCCAGAGACATGTGATGCGTGTTGACAAGCCGCTTAGCGTGTTGGCAACCCGCTACATCACTCCGCCCTAATGAAAAAGATTGTTTCGCATCTCTGACTGCCATTCTTGAACTTCCTTGTAAATTTCTTTTGGTTGAGATTGTGTGATAAATTGCCGTGTTGGCTTGTTGAGTTTGTTGATTGCTTACGTAGCCCTTCGCTGGTGAGTTAGCGGTTGAGTAGATGTGGCCCTTCGCTGGTGAGTTAGCGGCTGAGTATATTTGACACTTCGCTGGTGAGTTAGCGGTTGATTGTATGTGGCCCTTCGCTGGTGAGTTAGCGGTTGATTGTATGTGGCCCTTCGCTGGTGAGTTAGCGGTTGAGTGTATGTGGCCCTTCGCTGGTGAGTTAGCGGTTGAGTGTATGTGGCGGTTGCCAAATTGTTTGCTCCCTGTCTGTTGCCATGGTGCTTATTATCGACTTATTTACCATGATAATAAGTGATTTATTGAGCACGTGTTATTGTTGATCTTGAAGTGCGTGGTCGGGGTCTCAGTTGTAGGATTAGAATGTTCTTCTAGTTATGGCGGTTGTGAGCCATTTATAATAATTATTTATATTTTTAAAAATTCTTTTCTTAGTAATTCTTGAGACTTCAATTTATTTTTTTTGTGCTACTTCAAAATATGTCTTGATCTTCTTACCTTCTTGTATGTGTGTTACTAGTTCACTCTCGGGGTCACCAAAATATGGAGGTGTAGTAGTCCTCCATATTAATACCAATATTATCCAAATTGTAGTAATAATAAATTCCATAAAATATTATTTATATTTGGTTTATTTTATGTATGATTAATATCCACGACACTATGTGTTGTCATACTGATCATTAATAAAACGTTATTGGTATTTTCTTATTTATAATAGAAAAGAAAGGTTTCAAGAATTATACATTTTTTTGGCAAAAACTACTCAGGGAGAAACAAAAACCGTGTCCGATCTGACACTTGAATTTCCTTTTGTTTTTCTCAGTGCTGTCACTATATGGGCCAATCTGTCCAGAGACATGTGATGCGTGTTGACAAGCCGCTTAGCGTGTTGGCAACCCGCTACATATATATATATATATATATATATTAGGGTGGTCTTTAAAATGGTCATTTTCGAATTTACTTGCTCCCAGGGGCTCAAATGGTTCCAAATTGATAAAAAACAATTCTCTGAAAGTTTTAGCTCTTAATATTAACGTTTATATAGAGCGCAATTCAATCAAAGTTTTGTATGGAAATAGCATGCAAAAATTCTCAAAAATTTTAAAAATGTTTTTTAGATGTAATTTAGCGAACAAATGAATGAATAAAACTCATTCATTTGTCGATAAATTATACCTAAAACATTTTTTTTTAATTTTCAAAATTTTTTCCATGCCCTTTCCATACAAAGTTTGATTGGATTGCGCTCTATAACGTTAACGTTAATATTAACTGCTAAAACTTCCAGAGAATTGTTTTTCATCAATTTGGAACCATTTGAGCCCCTGGGAGCAAAGAAATTCAAAAATGACCATTTTAAGGACCACCCTAATA